CACACACACACACACACACACACGCACACACACACACACACAGATTAAAGAACAAGGGAGAAAAAAAAAAATCTTTCAATGCAACGTTGAAAAAGGTCAGTAGTAGATATGACCCGACCAACTTACTCTTCGGGCTTGTTGGGATCCGCATTGCAGATGCTCCCCTCCACCACTTCAATAGGCGGCAAGATTGCATGCAGGCCACGTGCCATCACCGTCTTCCCCGTCCCTCGACAACCCGAGATCACAACGCCACCAACCGATTGATCCACGGCACCCAGCAACAGAGCTTCCTTGATCGACTCCTGCAACCCCAAACCCATAACCCCAAACCGAATGTGCATGTCATCCACAAGAATATTTGCTCAACCAGTACTACGTTAACAGACTGGCCCGGGACCACTTGCCTGACAAATAGAGAAGAGAATCGAGGAGAGGATATGCCAATCGCTAATAATCCATGCATTTCAGAGTTCACAACCAAGCAGCTGCAAGGACATACCCACCGCCCTGAGTCGAACCGGAGACCTTTAGTGTGTCAGCTACATACCAAGTATTTAGTTTATTTTCGGTTTCACAAACCGCCTGCTCACGTTTTTCTTTGACATGGAGGACACCTGTTTTGTTTTTTTCGGTTAAAGAATCTCACTATAAAGAAATCACGTTTTTCTTTGAAAAGGAGGACGCCTGTTTTCTTTTTTTGGTTAAAGAATCTCATTATTAAGAAATGATATTATCACGTTTTTCTTTGAAAAGGAGGAGGCCTGAATTTGTTTTTTTTGCTAAAGAATCTTTTTTTTTTTTTTTTTTTTTTTTTTTTTTTTTTTTTTTAAATGCCCTCGCCAGTGTTAGTGCTGCTGATAAGAGCAGACAGCACGAACACCAGGAAGGAGGCTCCATCTACTGGTGGGGAGCATCACCTGCTGGAAAACGGGTCCAGCGTCCCATATACAGAAATTGAGGATGTCTGAGAACAATGAGAATAGTGACTGTGAGGTCTGCCAGCATTGATTGCCCTGCACCTCAGGGGATTGACTGAGCAGCCTTAAAATAGTGACCTCTTCACCTTGTGTTTTTTTTTTTTTTGTAAGAGACTCCTGTCAGCATTGATTGCCCTGGACTCCCAGGGGATTGACTGAGCAGGATACTTGGAAAGAAAGGAGGGAGGGGGAACCTCTTCACCGTAAGACCTGGCGCCAGATATCTACTACTGCGCCCTAGTTCCTTCCCCCGTTTTCTTTGAAAGAATAGGACAACGCTGAGAATACCAGCAATGCTCCACCCAGACAGGCCTGTGTTGAGATAAGCAGGGAGAAACTGAAAAGCAATAAACAAAGCAGACAGGCCTGTCCTAGGCGCCTGTAAACCAGTGGATCTCCACTATTGAATTTGGAGGCGGTGGGAAGGGATCAGGGAAATCTGAGAGGGGTCGTAAGGGGATGGAGGGGTCAATCTTGGTCCAATCATGAAACTGGAGGTGGTAATCCCGTTCTATCTTTTCCTTATCCCCCCCCTCCCTTCCCTCTCCCCCTTTCCACTGTAGGTCTGCCATCCAGCCCCCTTGTTCCCCTCCCAGCCAGTCTTTGCAGAAAGATTGTATTTGTTTCTTGATTTCTGTTTTTGAGTGCATAAAGGTTATTTTTTCCTTTGTTTTTTCCCATCTGCCTGGATCTGGAATTTGATTGTTTCTATGACCGCCGGACCTTCGAGGTGGACTGCTTCCATCTCCCTGGTGCACCTTTTCCACCAGATTGCCCAGAGCACTGCTTTTCGGCCTATTGTAAACATATTCCTTTTGAAGGTACTTGCTTGTTCCGGCTGCCAAGCTTCGCACAGAATTGATTGCCAGTTCCACGGCCATGGGGTTGTTGTGCCTAACAGATCCCACACACGGTCCCACCATCTCCATAACCAGATTGATCCAGGGCACTGTAAAAAAATGTGCTCGATTGTTTCTGGTCTCCTCCTTGCTGGGTATGAGGCCACGCATAATTTACACCAGGGGAGGGCCAGGCCCTTCTGTTCCAAGGAGGAACGATCAATCAACCAGTCATTTGTAGGTAGGCAACGGTGTTCTATTTGCCATTGCAGGGATGCGATCTTGGCCGGTGACGTTTTGCTGAGCCTGAACCATTTGATTGGTCGTAAGGTATTCCTATCTAGGTTTAAATGTCTTATCCACCGCTCACTCACCACATCTTTGAGGTTCAGCTTTGGGCGCAGTAGGCGGTAGGCTCCTTTGACTGTCATTGAATGTATCTGTTGTTGGCCTGTTTTGCCTCTGCCGGACTGGGTAGTCCAAACCCAAACGGCCGGATCAAAAGCGAGATGTGCAATCGAGGTGTCAGGTTTATATGCCCACCACTGATCCTTTTGTTTAAGCACCCGGATTCGGAAAATTTCCTCCTCTTTGAGCCACCTTGTTTCTTTCGGGATTATCCTGACCAGCCTATTTTTTTTTCTGATGTTATAGAGGCTCACCAAAACCTCTCTGTCCGGTCAGCCAGATATCACCACATTTCCAACCTTGTCTGCACAACCCCTGATTCCCACCCAGTCGCTGTCTTCAAAGGTCGGCCCTTTTTTTAGGATCCTTACCCAGTCTAAGGGTAGTGAGAAAATAATTTCCTCTAGGGCTTCTCCGACATTGTGACACTACCGCAGCCGCCCCCTCAGTTTAGATTCTGTGACCCAATCTTGTGTATCTAAATCCCAGATGTCCCCGATTCTGAGGATACCTCTGCTCACCCATCCCCTCCAGGGGGTTCCGGTACAGAGAAATACTGAGCCTTGGGGGTCCGTGACCCACCTGTTCCCAAATAATGGTTGCCTCAGTACTTCTTCCACCCGCCGCGGGGCCACCTTGTTTGGGAGCGGTAACTTTCGCCACGTGTTAAGCAGCTCGGTCCAAAAAGGATCATTCTATATCCTTCCTGGCTGCTTGTCTATCAGATTCCGTTTCTTCAATGGTGTTCGTTGTTCTTCTGGGTATGGTCCAATATCTGTCCTCTAACCACCCAAGCGGATCTATGTTGTCTGGGGTTGGGGGGGGCAGTCTTCTAATCTGTTGTAGAGCCATCTGTTGCCAGGGAATTTTTGTGTCAAATAGAAAGCTCTTTATCCATTTCAAGGACAAAGCCATGATCTGTGTAGTAGGATCGAGAATCCCCAAACCCCCTCTGGATTTTGGCTGGGTTATTGCTTGCCAGGCGACTCTACTGATCGTGTTTTTGCATTCATGGTTTCCTCTCCAAAGGAAAGTCGCTACCTGTCTTTGGAGGGGGCGTAGAGCCGTCTTGTTGAGTGACCATATGGCTGTCTTGTACCATAAGGATGCAAGCACCACATTATTGATGACTAAAGCCCTGCCAAATAAAGATGTGTGTTGGTTTTTCCACCGTACCAGTTTTTGTAGCACAGGTTGGGTCAACCATTCATCATTGGTTGGTGGACGGCCCTCGGCCGACATCTGAACTCCTAAGATTCGAATAGGTGAATTGGTTGGGACCCATTTCACTCGTGGGGACTCAGGCGGCCTACTCCCTTGGTAGTGGATCCACCACCCTTCAGTCTTACTACCCCAGTTTACCCTCATGTCTGACAACTTACAGAAAAGATCCATTAACATTTGGATTTTTCTCATGTTTTCAGGTGAGGCGTCGACCATAATGGAGAGATCGTTTGCAAACAGGGAACAAATCGGGATTGCCTCTTCCGGGATCGAGGTGAAGAAATCACGTTTTTCTTTGAAAAGGAGGACGCCTGTTTTTTGTTTTTTTTTTCGTTAAAGAATCTCACTACGTTGAACTCCCCTTCACAACAAAATTTAAGTTGTTATGAAGAAGTGATGACTCCCTACTCCCTGACCACCACCGATTAGGGCGGGGGGCAGTATGCATGATCCCCTTAATTGTGAGAGGTAGCTACGCTTGCAGGGGTCCCCTGTATAGGCTTAGGCTGGGACCCCACAAAAATACGGAAAGGAAAAAGTTTGCCACGGAAGTGCTTCCGGGAGCCCACACCCTTCCGGGAGCCCACACCCCGCGTAAAAGGTTCTGGAAAAGCTGAAATGTCTTCTAAAGACTCTTTTTTTTTCCGGGACCCCACAGACCGCATTTTGTGGCCTGATTTTGTGGCCTGGAAGATGGTGTGTCGACGTTTTCACATCATATGCGCTCTGGAAAAGGCTGTCGGGAGGAAATTCCACCGCAAAATTGTGTCGAAAGCAGAGGATGGCTGTGGGTGCCATCTTCAACTTTTCCAAGGTCAGGTCCCATTGTCGGACCATCAAGTGTCCTCCCATGCATAGTCCGCCGTGTGTCACCCACAGCCCATGCCACAGTCAGTTTCTCAGGTCCAGCCACAGCCTCCTGGACACCCAGCACTTTCCTTTTTCGGCCACTACCCACGGACTTTTCCTCTTACGGGAAAAAAAAAAACACTTCGCCGCAAAACCTAATCTGCAATGGGGTCACGGACAAATCACTTTCCAGCTTTCCAAAATGACTTGCCCTATTTTCGTGGTCAAACGTGTTCTCCATCCGCACTCCAGTGGGGTCCCAGCCTTAGGCGTAGTGGTAGGTAGCTAAGGTAGGTAGTGAAAGGTGATATTGAGAGAAGAATATAGCTTAGTTTTCATATTAAATATATATATATAAACAGGGTTACCTGACCGAACGTTCGGGGGACCCCGGGCTGACCCCCGAACGTTCGGGCGTTCGGGGTCCCGTTCGGGGGCTGAACACCTCCAGGTTCGGCCCTCGCCAAAAAATGTTTCGGGGCCTAAAAATATGTTTTTTTTTCTGAATTGTTTTTTGTGAGTTCTCTATGATGTAACCTACACGCCTATAAATTTTGAAGCCATCCTGCTAAGCCAAACAAACATTAAAAATCGTCAAAGAGGGGGGTGTCAAAACGTGGTCGCCCACTCACTATTTTGTTTATTTTCACTTTTAACTTTTTGTTTTCACTTTATTTCGAGGCCTAAAAAAAATTATTATTTTTTGGAAAAAAAAATAATAAGTTATTGATTATGTAAACTACATATCTGTAAATTTTCAGGGCATGTTTCAATGCCAAAAGATAATTAAAAATCGGCAAAGATGGCGGTGTCGAAAAGGTGCTGGCACACTCACTCATTTTAATTCTCTTTTTATTTTTTCTTATTTTTATCATAGTGTTTATTTTCTGTATTTGATTTTTAATTCAAATTTGGTAACAAATTTGGATGTAGTGCCCAGGCAAATGTTGTTAAGTTAATTTGTCTCGATAACATAGGTTTTTTTTCGGAATTTTTTGAAAACTC